TTTTCACTTTCTTGCCACTTTACTTTTAGTTATTTTCAATTCAATAATTTAATGATGAAACATAAGTATCATCTATACACTCAGGAGCAATAGAGGTATTACAGTTATCACCTTGATAAAATATAAATAAGAAAAAAAAACAGGAATAAATATTATAAAGCAAGACATACATGTCAAAATTTTCAGATGACTGGCTCCCTGAAAATTTCATGAAATAAGTGAAAAAATATTATCGAAAGAGAACTTACTAAGGCAAAAAGACTATAAATAAGGCTGACACAATAGAACCAACAGTTTTCCTTTCCATTACCACTACTGCATTAGAAAAAATTCATTCACAATGGCAACAAAACTAAAACACAAATTCTAAGAGCAATCTGAGGTTCTCTATAAAGAAAACTAAGATTTTCCTGAAGCATATACAAAATAAATAAAAAACCATGTTTCTAAAAGGAAAGACCTACATTTTCCCATTTTTCACAAATTTTAATAATATTCCCAAGGAATTGGGTGAGCTTAAAAACACATAAGGAAGAGAAAAAATGCAAAAGAATAGCCAAAATGTATTTTTTAAGAAAAATAGGGGAAAAGATGGATTTTGTACCCTCACATAAGTTTGTTTTAAAGTAGCTCATTCACTTTATATGTCACTGGATATATCTATTATTATCAAGACTCTTCTAGGAAAACAGAAGTGAATAAAACATATAGAAACCCATTCTCAAGAGAATCTGTGCACACATTTCTTAAAATTCTCGATTAATAATATTATTCCATATAAACACAAAAAGTTAACAACATAATGAAAAATTGAGTCAAAAACCTAAAAGAAAAGAAATCCAGTGAAGGCCATCCTAGTAGTGCAACCTTTTATTTTGCCCTGTGGGCAAGTCCTATGTGAAAGAAATAGCTATGAAATCAGATTGCATTTTGATGGCAAAAGGTAAACTAGATATAAACCAGCCTTTCCCAGATCTAGCTCTTGCTAACTTTAGATCATCTGATTAGGCCAGTAAACTCAAAACTTAAACTTGGATTAAGGTATTCTAAAACTAATAGCCAAAGTTTTCAAATATAATGTTCAGCATACAAACGTCTGGGCAAAAAGAAACATGACACCATGAACAAGATGAAAAAGCATCAAAAGAACCAGATCTATAATATTTTTAAATTCCAGAATTATTAGATGTGAAATACTAGAAACAATAAAAAAAGTATATCTGAAAAAGTACTAAATGAAATTCTAGACCTGACACTGGTGGCTGAGAAAATTAAAGTGGAAGGTAAATCAAAAAAGACTAGAATATAGCATTAAGAGTAAAAGAGAAAACAGAGAAGGTAAATAAATAAAAATCTAGTGAAGGCAGTGAGAAGAATTTAAAATTGGAGTACCAAAAGAACGAGAGAAACAAGGCAGAAAAATTATAGAGATATTGACTTTCTTCCAGAATCCAAAAGAGACTCCAAACTTGACAATAAAAATCCCTACACATAGATAGAAGTATTATAGTAAAAATTTCAGAAAATTAGATAAAAAAGAAAATCAGCCAGGAAATTTAGACAATGGACATTAGCGACAACTAAAGCAGAAACAAAGCAGAAAATGGTGGAATAAAAGCTTCAACATGTGGGGAGAAAATAAATGCAAATCTAGAATTCCACACTCATAAAATATTATTCAAGAATTAAGTGAATAAAGGCCTCCTCAGCAAACAAAAGCCAAGAACATTTGCCACAAAAGACCTAAGAAACTTAAAAGGATAGAATTGATTACATTAAAATTAAGGATTATTCATCAAAAGTAACCATAAAACAAATGCAAAATAAAACAACAAAGTAGAAGATAACTGCAGCACATACAATTTAAGGATTAGTGGAATTCCTACAGTTAATATGAACAAAGACAGATATCCCAAAAGAAAAAAAAAAAAAAAAAAAGGGGGGGGGGGGGACAATTTGTGAAGGCATTTCTCAAAGAGGAAATCCAAGTAGGCAATAAACATAAGAAAAGACAAAACCTAGGGAAATGTAAATTAAATTCACAATGAAATGCCACTTATACCAACTAGCAAAAATTTTTAAATTAGACCATATTATTAGTGAGGATCTGGAAGAACAAGTACTCTATGCACTCCTATGGAAATATAAACATGTGTCATCTTTTGAGTTTTGTTTTCTCTTTGAAGCATATACTCTATGACCAAAAATCCCCATTCCTTGGCATAGAGCCTAGAGAAAACTGCAATGGTGTTTATCAGCAGAAATGTAAGAATATTTAGAGCTCCATAGCATTTAATGCCATAACTGAAAACCTAAATATGTATCAATAATAAAAATGGATAATTAAATGGTCACACTATAATGCAGTAACATACAATAATGAAAATACACTATAGCTAATAGAACAACAGAAAGGACAACACTAAGCAAAAACTCCAAGACACAAAAGAAAACATGATTCCATTTCTATAAAATACACCAAGTAAAAATAAAGTACATGTATTCATAAGAAGTCAAACTCTTAAAAAAAAAAAGAGTATATAAATGATTATTTTCAAAGTCAGAATTGGGCTAGAGATACAGTTCAGCATTCATAAAAACCTGGATTTGACCCTCAGCACTGCCACACAAACACACAAAAAAGAAAGGGTGAGATGAAGAGCTTAGTTGGGGGTGCTGGCAATGTTTTACATCTTGTCCTTGTAAATAAAGTACTTTTTAATACAGTACTTTAATGTACTTCATCTTTCAGTAAAACAAATTTAGCAAGAGGCAATCTGTACATACCTAAAAATTATTTGACCTATTAGATTAACAGTTCAGCCTTCTAAATTTAGTAACTGCATAATCAACTTTGAGTTGTGATTTTAAACTAGACATCTTACTAAATTATGTGAAATATTAAAATATTCAAGAATATTCAAGTTTCTCCATATTTTGCAGGTTTAATTTTTTATATTTGAATAATTTATGCACCATTTTTTTAAAAATTTTTTGATTTTGGGGATGCACTGGAAATGGAACCCAGGGTCTCATGCACTCTATCACCCAAGCACTCTACTACTGAGCAGCATTCCTGGCCACTTTAAATAAGAGAACTGAGGTTATTGAAATAGGAACTAAATGTGAAATAATAAATGTAGTTTAAAATATTTGTAAAATGTTATAAATGAAAGTAAACATTGTCTAAAAGTTCCTTAATTAAAGTATTTGCTGAAATTGCCTAAATTCACCAGTAGGAAAATCTGAATCCAAATATCTTTACTATAAAAAAATGCTCTTTGTTTAACTCACAATTGTTTTTATTGTAAAAAAATTTTTTTAAATAAATGTTATTTTAAAATTTTTATTTGGACACAATAACTTTATTTTATTTGTTTATTTTTATGTGGTGCTGAGGATTGAACCTAGCACCTTGCATATGTTGGGTGAGCGCTCTACAGAGCCACACCACAACCCCAGCTCCCCAATTGTTTTTAATTTAAATTCTTCTTAGATGTGGTATTGGACACTGAACACTGAGCTATAGCTTCCTAAGCAGCTGGGATTACAGGCATACACAACAACGCCTCACCTGAATTATTATTCTTTTTTTTTAGAGAGAGAGAATTTTTTTATATTTATTTTTTAGTTTTCGGCAGACACAACATCTTTGTATGTGGTGCTGAGGATCGAACCCGGGCCGCACGCATGCCAGGCGAGCGCGCTACCGCTTGAGCCACATCCCCAGCCCCTGAATTGTTATTCTATTTTCATGATTGATTTCTTTTTATATTTAGAAGTAGAAATAATTATTTAAAATATTGTTCAATATACAAGAAATTTAACGTAGGTTTAATTATGAAACTTGTGGTCTAATTCTTCTACTTGTATCCATATCTTTTTTTAAAAATATTTATTTTTTTAGTTGTATATGGATACAATACTTTATTTTATTTTATGTGGTGCTGAGGATCGAACCCAGGGCCTCACGCATGCGAGGCGAGTGCTTTACCGCTGAGCCACAACCCCAGCCCCATATATCTTGATAATTACCTCGATAAGACAAAAATCACAAAACTTTTAAGAATAAGAGCTAAAAGGGGTTCTAGAAATTGCTAATTTTCCCATTAGAAATCCTATGTTTTGTTTTCACTTCCAAATTTTATTTGCCTGTAGTAAATCTTACAATTAAATATATATATATATACATACACACACACACACACATATATATGAGAGAGAGAGAGAGAGTGTGTGTGTGCCTGTCAGGTGCTATGGCCCATGCCTGTGGTCCCAACTACTGGGGAAGGCTGAAGCAGTAGGATTATGAATTTAAAGCTAATCTGGGCAACTCTGCAAGACTACCCTATCTTAAAAAAAAAAAAAAAATTGTATGTACGTAGGCTGGGGTTGTAGCTTAGTGGCAGAGCACTTGCCTCAGCACCACATAAAAATAAATATTGTGTCCATCTACAACTAAAAACATATTTTTAAAAAGTGCATGTATGTATATGTCTGTGGATACATATACAGATATGTCTATACAGGTATACATACATATATGTATACACACATATTTTTTAATATGGAGAAAGAAATAACCATCAAAGAATTTTGCACAATAAGAGATAACCGATACACCAAGACTTTGTATATTTTTAGTCAAAAGTAAAGAATCTATCAGGCCTTTTGAAAAACTGAAAACAACTTGCAAGTACTTTTCCCTTATCTAGGACCCTAGAGATCAGGAGACCCTTGGTGGGACAATCCAGCCAACCAACCCAATGTTCTAAGTTCACCTATAACATGTTCCTAGTTTAAAAGGTTTAATTTATCATGAAAGGGAGAAAATTATCTTCCTCATATGTTAATCTATGCAATGTTTCTAACAAAACTGTATTCTGTGAACAAAGTAACCCAATACACATAAATAATTTAAATCAGGTAAACACAACCTCAAGTGGACTATTTTCACCAATAAGAAATTAAATAAGAAATGCTTCACATTATAGACATTATAATTTTCTTTAAGTCTTTTTTTATTTAGAGATTTTTCTGGTAAGGAGATATACCATAGGAAAGCAATTTCACTGGCAGTGAGGTATGTATACACTCTACCAAAATGCTCCTTATTTTAACTGTTTTTAACTTTATTTACACATAAAGAAAAGTATCAATGCATATCCTTGGTTCAACTATAATATTAGCCAAACTACATGAAATTAAATGAAATGGTGCCTGCATACAAAAACTGTTATTTGTAAAGGAATCTAATTTCAAATTAAAAGAACTAACTTGTTTTTGGAAATAGTTGAAAAGAATAATCACAATTTATCATGACCAAGACACCTGCACCATATTTTCCATTCCTCACAGCACATTTATTTCAGTAATTCCGTTATGTCGGTTCTTAGCATGAGCATAGTGTTACACAATTTTCATACATATAATCACATCCAAAACAAGTTCTAAAATTTAAATTGTAAACATTCTCATCATATGTAGAAATATTTTAATTGGTGTATTAAGTTTTGCTAACTGATCAAATTTGGAAGATAATATAAATGAGAAAGCCTATTCTAAATTGTGTAGTGAGCATCATTTATTACATTTCTACAATGTTAAATAAAGTAAGAGGCAAACCTGTCCTGTAAGCATGTCAAATTTTAGGTAAAACACTAAAAAGAAACAAATCTGTTAACAAAAGGATGTCTTGCAATAAAGAACATTAGATTTTTAAAATCTATTATGATACAAAAATGTAAAGGGTAAATAGCATCTTTGTTGACAAAGTAGGAGGTAGCATGGATGCACCACTTTATTGTCTGAGAAATGCAACTGGAGTAAAGAATATTTCCTTACCACAAATAATTTCCAGGACTATGTACATATTTCTTTTAGAAATACTTGTTTAAACAAATCTCCCTCCACTTTTTAGTATAAAAAAAACCGTTCCATGTGATTTTAAAAAAACACTTACACATCTAGATAGAATAGTACTCTGCCCTATTTGAGTGAACAGTCTCAAACTATGAAGTACATGATATTTAATGCCCTAAGTTGAGTAAATTTAGTTAGCAAGTTCCTGGTATTATACAAAACACTAAATACATACAAACAAAATATAATATCTTATATTTCTATGCAAGTCTTGTGGGGAATAAACAGAGCCTTGATTCTGGTAACACTGCAGAAAACATAATTTTCCAATAAGTCTGTCTATATGTATCCATGTGCAACATTTATAAATGGCTGCTTACATGTAAGGTCTTTTATTGAGTGAACATAGTTAACCAACAAAACTTAGTAAATCTTAAAAACACATCTTCCACTCTATATAAAATATATAGACTACTTACTGTTTTTAAGTGTTCAATTTGCTCTGATGTCACTGTAAATTCACTTTCCCCATTTTCCTGCTTTAGTATTTATAAACGGATAATTTATTGTGGCTTACAAAAAAAAAAAAGAATTTAAAATTTACATCCAATTCAAATTTGCTATTTAAAAGGTTTCCTGGTTCTATGAAGCTGCTTCTGCCATTAGTAAAGAAAATGAAGTTTCTGTAATGGAAGCAGGCTTTTTAAGTAGTGACGTGACTTCCACCATGCCAGCTCCAGTCCGTGGAAGATTAGCGTTTACAATGTGTCGTTGTAAGTGCTTAATCCAGTCTTCTTGAACAGACAATGGTCCTCGAAAGACTAGGCCACAAAACCTATAGAAGTTGATAAAAGTTCTCTTAACCAATTCCTTTTATTTAAAGTCAACTTACATAAAATCCATAAAATATTTAAGGAACAAACCTTACTATATACTACATATAGCACCCTGACAGTATCTAAATGAAGTTGAGATGATTTAATGATACTGAAACTCCTAATTCCTATGTTTATTAAGAGTTATAATAAGTTAAAAAACCTACAAATCTTAAGTAATTTACAACAATTATCACTCCAAAATGTGCCATTCTCTGAAGACCCATACTCAATTCAGAATTCTTTCTTATGTGAGTATATGAAAGGAGGTATTGTATGAGGGGAAAGTAAAATGTGTTCCTAATAATCAGGAACTTATGACAGTAAAAACTGAAACTGAACCAAACTAAACAAACCAAATTTAAAAACCACAACAATTAAAAAGTCACTTTTACAAATCACAGTATAATGGAGGCTCTTGGCTAAGGTATAAAATGATTTAGAAGTTCACTTATAACTTGATTGTTGAATGTACCTTAACACCAATTAAAAATCCCAAATAAAACAGCTGAAGAAACAGAGTAGAGATGGCAATATAAGTATATACCTGCATCGGAGAATGTAAACCTCGTCAGCACCATGAGGTAACGTTAACATTTTCTTTTTGCTTCCAGATCTTGACCTTGATTTCTTTTGTTTACAATCTAAGGCTAAAAAAGGGAAGAGAAAGACTTAAATTCCTTATTTATTATGAAATATACATACATATTTTTAGAGACGTCAGACCACCAAAATCAAGTTAGAAAAAGTTTGTATTTATTTTCCGAGGCATGCACTAACTTGTAGCTGAATCTCTAACAGCAGTAATGCTATCTACATATATTTGTCTTGTATTCCTTTTTTCAAATAATACTTTACCATTCCAAATTAGAACTGATAAAATATAAGTAAATAACTGGAAACTACAAAGTTGGTCAATAATTACCATAAAATTCTCGTGATCAAATGTAATCATAACATCTGGTTAAATTTTTCTTAACTCCAGGAAAATTTTAATGTTTTATATAAGATCATTAAATGGTTTGCATTTGATTACAATCTACTCCATTTAAGTAGGTCTCACATGCTGTAAAAAACTGAGCAAGGGAACATAAATAATGTAATAAAAGTCAATTTTCATGGCAATTCAAAGGCAAAAAAAAGCTCAACTTTCATTTTTAAATTCAATCTGTAGTAAGTGTAAAATCATGCAAACATGTAAGTTTTATTTTACTAGAAAATAAATATAAATCTGTATTATATAAATTTACAACTGAATGCAATGTTTGATGTTAACTATTCTTTACATTTTTTCCACTTTATACTTTCTTCAATATTTTATTTTAAAAATGTGATTAAAAAGGGAAAAAAGGATTTTATAATTAGACCAAAATTTTAGTGCTAAGTGTTCTTGAAATCTTTCCATTACTTGACTTTTCCTGTTATTTATTCAAAACATTTTGGCTTAATAAAGAAAAAAGGTATTTTTATAAGCTGAAATAGGACATAACATTTTATAAGTCTTTGAATTCAGCTACACCATTTCTTTGGACAAAGGGATGATAGTAATCCAGGGTGCTGCTGTCAATTAGCAGGAAGAGAAGGTAAAGAGTTTATCTCTAGGAATCCAAGGGGGAGGGATACAAATGTAACAGAAGAGTCACTCAAAATGGCTTTTCTTCTTATTCTGCCACCTGAAATCCCCTGAAAAAATTCCAAGTAAGAGAGAACAGGAACTGGCTATTCAATGATTCTGTGAAATGAGTTTTTCAAAGTTCGGATTCCAAAAGAACAGATGCTACTAACACAAAACCAGTAAACATAGTTCCTTATAATAATCAAGTGGCAATGCCAACAGAAATGCCACAGAAAATTAAAAACCATATAAGAAGCCTAAATTTCATTCAAGCCGCTGGTTTCGGCATCCTGTCACCTGCCTGTTTAAAAGTAAAATCTAAGACACACAGTCTTTTTCTGTTTCATTCTTATAACAAGAGTCTATAAGTAATAAGAACGACTGGAAGTAAAGTTTTAAAGAATGGCTAATTCAAAGGTAAACCACCAAAATCTGGAACAGAAAAATCTTCTAAGGTTTTCATTCGTTATTTCAGTCAAGAGCTTGGCACATAACAGGAACTCTACAAATAAGTCTAGAATAGAAATAAAGCAAAACTCAGTAATTAAACCAACATTTAGACAGCCCCTGAATGGAAATCTGTTCTAGCCCTATGTAATACAGGTAACATTCCTAAGCAATACCTTGGCATCTTTTCTTTAAATATCACACATTCTTAGATATAGATCACTGGCCAGCCAAGCTTATGTGTAGAAACTAGGTTCTTTACAACTAACATGAAGAGTACAGTACCACATATTTTGTTAACAGCAGCTGCTTCTTCCTGATTGTTGTGGTGAGCAATTTGAATTTAAGTGAATTTTAAATGATTCATACACAGGAAATGAGAGTTCAGGGAACTCAAAAGGTAAGATAGTAGATGTTAGCTACTCTTTCCACTTGTAATGTAAACTATACACAACCCCTGCCTCTGTTATGCGGAACAGAGTAAGCATTTCATTTATCATGAGACTACTGGCAGAATATCACTTTGATGAACTTGCTGGTTGTCAAAATGCCACACTCTATTCAAACTTTCTGAAAAATGCAAATAAATTACTCCAGCATGCAAACAGAATACATTATAACAATACTTAAAAACTATGTTCACAGAATATTAATGTGAGGGGCATAAAACAAATTGAGAGAGGGTAAGAAAGTATGCTAAAGAATGGTTTATGAATTACAAAACATGTAATAAGTTACTTTTAGATACTGTGATACTTTAAACATGGAACATGCTTTACCAGGATGATGAAATAGCTTACACTTTTTCTTTAACAGAGAAAAAATGGTATTTTCTGACTTTTGATGCTATATGTATGTTTAGGCAGTTTGATAAATGATCAGATATAAATTTTAAATGTGAATATCATGGCTTTTGTAGTAATTAAAATTTGAAGGTATTATGACTTTGGAAAGTAAGACAACTCCACCAGCACGAGACTGATAATTTCTGGTAGCTAGGGCTCCAAGTAAGTTAGAGAACCTCATACATTAAAAATTCTTTTGAGGGCTGGGGTTGTGGGTCAGTTGCAGACTGCTTGCCTAGCACGTGTGAGGCACTAGGTTTGATTCTCAGCACTGCATATAAATAAATGAATAAAATAAAGGTTCATCAACACCTAAAAAATATTTTTAAAAATTCTTTGAAATATATCTATAAGATTAAGGTATTAAAAACTTGAGACCTCTGATAATTAAACCCAAATGCCTCAGTGTCTTAATATCTTCATTATTACTTAAAAACTTCTTAGCCCTTGAAATTTTTTTAAGTTGGTAAAACATTACATTTAATAGGTAAGGATTTTTTTTTTTCCTAATACCAACCCTATTCCTGTAAAACACTGAGTATCTGACATATATACAAAGGGGACATTTATATGGTATCTTCTAAATAAAAGATGATTTACAGAAAAAGCTTCCCTATCTGAAAAAGGTGACATGCAAACATGCCTATTATCCAAATGTTGTCATTTAACAGATTTTATTGCATCTAGAGGGAAAAACAGTTTTATTCTGCACTGTATCAGGTTTCACTACATTAAATATAGAATGCATTCAACTTTAGTACAACACATTTGATTTTGACATAATAAAGCTCATCAATACTTGTGATCAACAGCCAAAGGTATAACAAAGTTGTTATATATGAGTATCTGCCAAATAGATAACTCTGTTACACTAAGACTTTCTTTGTTGTAGGTTTTTATTTGCACTTATTAGCGTTAAAGAAGAAAAAACTCCCACACACCTTTTCAATTTCCAATTTGTATCTGTATTTGCACATGCAAAATTATCAGATTAGTTATAGAAAAGAATTCTTAAGTTCTCTTCTCTGTGAGTAAAACTGCTTCTTTAGAAAGGAACAAATCCAGTCACTCATACCTTTCTGAGGTGGGCAACTTCAGCCAGAGGACTGTCAACAATCTTTGAAATTATCTGATTTTATGAAAGATCTAAACTGGTACTGGGAATAGTTACTTGTGGGAAGAATGAATTGAGTGTAAGGCCATATACAAACAGTTTTACAATATACCTTTCAGTAAAATAGCTGTTTTGAAATATGAAAGCGAAATACAACAGAGAATGCATCCTCAAAAAGAACGCCATATTGCTATGCTATGAAACGGGAACAAAATGTCCAAAACACTAAACTAGATCAGTGAAAAGCATACAAAGAGATAATATGACACAAACAAATTCAAGTCTGTTTTCTGAACAACTGTTTAGTTTTGTACATAAAAGAAAAAGAAGTTACTTTTTTGCTCTAACACTGTTACATAAAATCTTATGCCCTTTTCCACCTTTCTGTTCATTATATACAATAACTGCTTCTGCTTCAATGAATTTCATTATCTTTTTTCTTCGCTGCAGAAATTACTTCAGAGAATAATAATTCATAAAAATACCTGAAGCTTCTGTGATACAGAAGCATACCACAAAATTAAATTAACATTTACCACCAAAATATTTGTATTTGCAATTATCCTCCCCCCTACCCAATCATTTAAAAGTCCTTTCATCTGTTTCTTCCCTGATTGTTGGCATTCCAGATATCTTAGTCCATTACCTGCTGCTTTATCAGAATATCACAGACTGGATAAATCAGAAACAATGTATAAATAAATATATTTGGCTCACAGTTCTGGAGGCAGGGAAGTCCAAGAGCATAGCACCACCAACTATGAAGGCCTTCCTACTGAGTCACACAACATGGTAGAAGGGAGTGAGCACACTCAAAACAGGAAATTGGGCAAATTCATCCTTTTATCAGGAATCCACTCCTGTGATAAATATCCAACTCCCACAATTATTACATTAATTAATTCATAAGGGTGGAGCCCTAATGGCCTGTTCACCTCTTAAAGGCCCTACACCTCTCAATACTAATGCAATGGCAACAAAATTTCAATATTAGTTTTGGAGGGGACATTCAATCCATGGCATTCTGTACTATACCCCCTAAAAACTCACATACAAAATACATCCATGCTATTCCAAAAGTCTTCAAAAGTTTCAGTGTCAACTCAAGAGTTCAAAGTCCAGAGTCTCCTCTAAATCAGGCATGGTGAGACTCAAGGCATGATTCATTCTGAGGCAAATTTCTTCCAGTAGTAAGCCTGTGAAGTCAAAACAAATTATCTACTTCCAAAATACAATATGATAGACATTCTCATTCCAAAAGGGAGAAATAGGCAAGAAGGGGTATTAGACCCAATAATAAACCTTAAAGCTTCATATTAACTTTTCTCCATGTGCTACTTCCTAGACATACTAGAAGGTTTGGACATCTTGAAAAGTGCCAACTCTCACAGCTCTATTGTGGCCTAGTGTGGACTTTCTGTAGCAGTTCAGCCCCTAATCTCTCTGCATGGGCACCCAGGTAGTCCATAGCATTCTTTGAAATCTAGGTGGGGGTACCATGCCCCCACAGCTCTTGCATGCTCCATGCACTGGCAAACTTAACACCACATGGACAAAGCCAAGGCTTATCACTTTTATCTGAGGCCACTTGAATCAACACTGCCCCACATAAGAAGGCAGGGAGCAGTG